GCACGAATCTTCTCTCATCTCGGATGGTTTCTGCGCGGAATAACCTCCCGCCGATGACTGTCCTGCTCCACCCGGAACATAGTTAAAAGCGCTACTAGAAGATTTTTATTGCGAATCTTTGCGCTTTTATTTCACGGATTCACGAACTGATACAGAGGATCGAGGTCTTTGCCTAAACTTCCAGGGTCGGATTTTTCCTGTCGTTCAGCTTAGTTCCATACGCTGAGAACATAAAAGCAGTGCGTCACAATTTTTTGCTTGTTTCTTTCAGCTGGGTAGCCGCCGCGAAACGACAAGAACAAACTTGATCCGGGATTTCTTGTGCGGAAACCTCGATCCAATGTATCGATCCGTGAATCATTGATCATCGAGGCTGCTGTAGTCTGCAGACCCTGGAAACCATTATATCCACGCATTTCCGGGACGCAAACCGTAGGAAATTTAGATAGGAAAATTCGAGAGGATGTTTACCCCCCTTCAACGACTCGTGAAGGTGGTATATCGACTGCTGTATTTGTAAGTCACAGAGGGCCCCGTCAGCTACACGATGCTATTAGCTGCGAAATATTTGTGGGTAGAGCGAAACTTTTCCCCCTAAATGTTGCATTTTGTTGCATGTGTGCTCAAACCAAAAGCCATTCTATTCTGCGTCCACATTTTTGCAGCCCACTAAGTTTCGAGTTCCACTGAAACAATCATACCTCTGGCGGAAAGACTGGTGGACTAATTTCTCAGCATTGCCGAGACCCCGGGATGCCTAAATTGGGCTCAAAGTTTGGACTGGTACTCGGAGCTCAATTTCTCGATTGCTTTAGTCCATTAGGGCACGCCATACCCTTTGAAAATTACATTCCATTGTGCGACGAATGGTCTCCGACGCGGAACGAACTGAAGAGCCAGTGCTGAATCGGGCGCGGGTTGCAAGGTCGTGCGCGACGCCTTCGTACAAATGAATAATGCACAGGGTAACGAGGATCCCGGTCGTCGTGATCAATCCGATGCTTACATGCAAACTTTGTAATGGTTATCTTATCGATGCCACTACAATCGTTGAATGTTTACACTCCTTTTGTCGGAGTTGCATACTATCATATCTAAAACTTCACACGACCTGTCCGATTTGTGACACTCTCCTCCACAAGACGAGACCCCACTATGCTATCAGACCGGATAGAGCGCTCCAAGCAATGGTCTATAAACTCATCCCAAATCTCTTTGAAAAGGAGATGTCTTGTCGTCGGGAGTTTTTCAAAGGTATGACATTTATAGTTCATTAAGTGCATGATTTTGATCCTTATTGCTGAAGGATAGGTTCAATAGGTTCACCATGCCCTCAGGTGCACCCCGCCCCAGTAGTAAGAATAGAATGCTGACATCATGATACTTTCTAAGCTCCCAAGCCTTGCAACCAACCAGGGACCTAATTTGGTGCACAGAAGTCAGCTGCAGCTCCGCAAGTTCGAGTACCTATCCCTGGATTGTAAGTGGGGGGTTCAGTGACTGCAAAGCACATGCCAAAGGTGCAAAACGACTGGTTAGTCAATTTAAATCCGCACCTCATTTTGCAATTCGGAGACGAGAAATTACGTCGGCATATTACAGGTTGACAAGGTTTTCGTCGGCAGCTTTGGAAGCCATCCAGCTTTCGTCTCATTATCCCATCGGTCACGGAACTAAAAATGGATAGGGGAATGGGTTTGACGGATACCGCTTTTTGTACAAAGCTTTTGGAGACCTTCCCGTATGTTCTTACATGCCTACGAGTCTGAGAATACAAACTTCCGGGTCGTCCCTTGCTGGACAAGCATGTTAAGAAGAATAATACGGTCCACTGAGTCAAATGCGCCTTGAAAATCCAGGCATACTAAAATAGAGGGTCTTTTGTACCTACGGTTTTGCACTAGCACCTGACGGAGTGTGAAGATTAGATCAACACAACCTTTTCTAAGCTGAAACCCTGCTTGCTGCTCTTGAGTCAGTGTCTCGTGAGCCACCATAAGGCGAAGAACAGGTGACGTGAGCAGTCAATCCAGTAATATCAACTGTGGTGTCTCGGCCATGCGCTGGAATACTGTTTACCGAAACAAATGTTCTACACGCCTCAAAATGGCGCAAACCGCGAGGTAGGCAACGTATATTTTGGTAGAGGGATGTGCACCAGTTTACTGAGAGTTATTGTCTGCCTCCTGTGATGAGGTCTTAATGGCCCTCCCGGAGACATCGAAAGAAATGGTGACTGATCGATGTCAGTAGCGCTTTTCCTGTTGGTTTATTTCCAAATTGTCTGACAGCGCTTGGAGGTGTAGGCACCTCAAAATGCTTGCGGTAGGATAGCACCCCTCCTTCACTTACTATTTGTTTTCCCTGTAAAGAACTAAATATTACTACCTGAACTTTGTGGTTTTACGGCAGTGAACTACCAGTGTCATCACTGATACTGCCGTCTCCGATTATGGGTGAGATGGCCCAAGTGGTTAGAGCGCGAATTTACTGACCGGAAGGTTCGTCGTTCGAACCCGACCTCTGCCTCTCGACTTCCCCTGTCTGGGCTTGGGAAACCTGACAGTATCCCAGCCCTCGTGCAGCCTTCGGGTAGCGTGGCAGTTTGGCACCCAAAGGGTGCTACAGCTCTGATGATGATCCACTATCACCTTGATCAATGCGGTAGGGAATCATTCGAACAAGGATCTCGGTGGCGTTTCACAGTCGGTTACAAGCCTCTTAGGCTTAGGGGTTCCAGGTTTACTATCCAGGGTCCTGCTTGCAGGATCCAGCTGAGTTGCAACAGATTTCCAGAGGACTGCTGTTCCAAGTGCTCGACCCAGCTGTCGAGGCGTCCTTTACGGAAGATAGTCGCCCCACTTTAAGCCTTGATGATTTCGCCCACAGCTGGTTTCCGAAGGTCGGTCGCACGGACCAACCGAAACAGTCTTCAAATATTCCCGACTTCCTTTGCTTCTTCCGTTTCCTTAGCCTCCCCTGTCCATCAGGCTTCAGGTAGCACCTCACGCTCACTTGAACTTGACTTCTGATAACTTTTCGAGTTCAATTATATTCGGAACCTGCGGGCACGTCTCTCCGAAGCTCAAGCAGTGCCACTGTCCTGCTTGATATTCAGTGAGTGAGCAGGCCCGGTAACCCCATGCCACATGCCAAGGATGTGACAGTCTTGTTCATGCATGAGTTCATATCTGATGCTGCTCCAGAAAACAATTCTGGAGCCTAACATCCGGGCGAGGCTCTGGAAAATGAATAGAGAAGTGACTCCGGACAAGCGCGCAGTCGGAACTCACAAATGCGTTCAAAAACTAGTGGTGGTCGATTATTGATTCGCCCCATCGGTAACCGATGGCGATGTGATCAATCTGGGTTCGTACCTAGCACGCTGTTGGAGAGCACCATTTGACCAGATAGCTTCGATTATTTCTTCAGTTAGCACTGTATAAAAACTGCCAGGACACCCAGACCTAGCCAGCAGGACGATTATGATACTTGGTCAAACCTTTTGAATCAAAAGTCCGATTGCAAGGCGGCGCTGTGTGGCGGGAAGTGTCCCTGCAATACTTTGCCACGCGTTTTACAACCATCTACTTGGAGGGCCAGGAGACTGTGTTGATCAGACCTAATCTCTGAGCAACCTGGTATGGGAGGCTATGCGAGTGTCGCACGGACACCATCTAGTAAAGCACATCGTCATCATTATCAGCCTCCAGAACCGCGTAATTATCGTACAGCGATTGTAGTTGCCACAATTTAGTGTATATATATATAATGTATAGTATAGCTCAGTGGGTTGTGGAGGCCCATAAACTGTCACACTACGACAAGGCACCAGCCTACATGAGCTATGGTTTTGAGGCAACGGTTGTTAAGGACCAGAAGGCCTCTCACTTCCGCTGCTCGCAGAGGGTACGCATCACAGCCGTACAACAAAACGACCCTCAGTGTAGCCTGATACTTCCTTTTAGACTCAGTGGCACACCATTTTGCCATCATAGGTGTCTCCAATAAGCAAATGTCACTTAAAGAATCCTTGAAGAATCGTGCATTGACCTCATCTGTCACACTAAAGTCAACTAATACGTAAGTGGTCAGCTGTTTCACGTAGTAGGATGCTGAAAGATAGTGAGTCGGCATCACTGGAAAACATCTTCAAGAGTGGTCAAGTCGAACATACCCTTCCGGCACTGTGGAGTTGATAACTTGCGAACGGGTCCAGAATATCCACTAACCATACAGTGAGCTTTACACCTCTGAAACTATCTCATCAGTACGTTGCGCTTGTGTAGTTTTAAAGAGCCACTCAGTTTGGGTGCTTGTGTTCCATTAGACTTGAGTTATTTTCAGTGTGTCACAGCACAATGAATTTTCAATATTCACAGCCTTTTCCTTGACCAGAAGAATGTTCTCTCGGGTTAAGTTCACTCTAAATTTCCGTTCGTCAGCGAGGTTGCCAGCAATTTTTGAGACTTATTATCACCAATTTTTTTGTCGGAATCCTTTGGAGTGAGTTATGGGTTTTCAGACTAAATGGGCGATGACGTTATCTTAGACTTAATCCCCAGTGATAAGACCAACTAAAGTCTTGGTTATTACTGTAGAGGACGGGCTGTCTTTTTTGATGTCGTTTTTGGTTCGCGGTTTTAGTTTTCCATGCTCTTCCCTTCATGAGGGTTTTTCTGCAGAAGTTGTCGAAATTGGGGCAATACGTTAAGGCAGCGAATTGCTTTGAGATCCCGATAGACTGCTTTAGCCGCCCAAATCAACTCTCATTGTAAGAGTTGGCCGGTCTGACATAATCAGCACAGTTACCATGGGTTTTTCTATGGAAGGCAACTTGCTAAATTGCCCTGGAACCAACAGCACATTAGTTCATGAACACCTTCCTCTATAGCTCAACTGCACAACTATTTCGTTCCCAAATGGATCGGACCTGCGCGTCAGCCTGAGGTATATTTGAACTTGTCTGACGATCGTGTGTCATGTTGCCCCAGGTAGCCAGGCCACTCGAAATCAGACCGAATGCGTACAGAGAATAGCAACACGTGGGTTGGAAGCCAAGTAGGCATTGAATATATAGACAGATGGAAATTGCTGAACTTATCTTTCCCGAGGCTCTCATAATCCAAAGACGTTCTGATGTCACTCTTTTCACTATCCAGGACGAATTTGCCACCATGTAACGGCGATTGGTAAAGCGAATGGGAAATCGCTTCACCCTCCGGAGACGGTTGGCTAATAGGCCACTAGGCACACTAAAACTGCTGCGCAAGGTCTTCAAACCAGGGAACTTACTTGTTATCGTCGTGGGCCGGGAAATAGTACCACCTGCTAGCATGTTTGTCTAGTGGATTGTACTAGTTCAATCGGTCTTGACGAATAACAAATAACCACCCTAAATACATGCATCCAGGGGGCTAAACAGATTTCTGTTCAATGGCATTGGCTTTTCATTTTCGTTGTGCATTTTGATTCCTGTTCAGATCCTCCTACTGTCATATTCCAAGTGAATTTCGTTGCCGGGCATTTTTTATAAGTCAGGGATGTGCCTGTTCCAATGTGTAGCGGCCAGCACAGATTGTTTTAGGGATTGCAATTAGAGATCCATGTGGAGCGCACTGGAAAGTATGCTACAAAGATCACTCGAAAACTGCATGCGTTTGTTAAGTGGAGACCACTGTGGCGCGTATATGGTTTATAGAATGGGGAGTCTTCCAATACGAGGTGTTCCATATGCTTGGAACTGTAGGCTTGGTGCACTTACCACTGAACAATAAGGTCAAAACAGGTGTTCAAGCCGCTCGCTAATGCAAATAGTAGTCCGTCTTCATTGTCACAATGGCGGCTTACTCGCTCAGCTGTAACACCCTTTCGGTGTATGGCTGCTATGCTGCCAGTTGATGGCCGTGGCCGCCGGCACATCATTCAATAGAAAAATTTAAAATCAGGGTCTGGTGCCGCTCAAAAGATATCTGCTGTGCGCGGCCGGGACCCTGTAGTCAAGCAAGTTAGACTGTTCAGTCATTGACTCTTGGAAGGGTACCCCATGAATACCCTAACAGCTGCTGCTTTCCGGTTCACATTTTTGACTCAGAGACTAGGGGCAGGATCCCCGAACAAAACCCTTCATCCACCACTACTTTGAGGGTCAGACTTTTGAGTCAAGGGTTCAAGTATGGCACCACAACCAAACCATATTTTTAAGCCTGGGCGACCAGAAAGTATCATTCACCCTTACAGCTCTTCGTTCAGCGGCTCCCCCACACCCCATCCTAACCCATTGAATAATGCAGTGCGCTCAACCCGTTTGCCAGTCCCCCAGCCATTGTTCCGTGTCTAAACCATCGCCCAGTGAAGTAGACCAAAATAATCACTTACAAACCAAAACCCTATCCATGTAGCAGCCTTCAATGTCCGTACTGTGTCAAATTGGGCGACCCTATCCATGTAGCAGCCTTCAATGTCAAATTGGGCAGCGGTCTCTCTTTATGAAGCCTTGCTTCCCGCACTGTCGTCGTTTGCTGTGTCCCAAGAACACACCAATGCCTTGAAGCAATGGCTAGATGTCTACGACGTGAGAGTAGCATTTGGCTTCAGAGGTAGAAATGCCTCACTGGATTGAACCCCAGAAAACAGCAATCTTTACGCTGTGCGGTTGTCTGGCTCGATTAAGATCAACGCAATTCGACGCGTTAAACAGTGTTTTTCGTATCAGGTTGCGTCCCGACAAGCTGACGTCCTGACTTTGAGGAGGACGGATTTTATCAGGCTCTGTGACGACTGCTTCGGTGGGCAAGAAGAACGGATATGGTCATCCTTGTGGGTGATATGGACGCCAATGTTTGACGACCAAGCTCGGGAGAAGTACTGTTAGGTGGTATGTTTAGAGTATATGTGCATCGCACGGATAATGGGAAGTGACTTCTTTAGTCGTATGTTAATCATCGTCTGTTCCTGATCACTACGAACTTCCAGCACAGACACTCACACTAAGTTACATGGTGGCCACCAACTGCACGACAGTTATACACTCTGACTGTATGGCTGTCAGTTACCGATGGAAAGCCTCGATTGGAGAATGTCATTATTTCTGGGGTCGTTAGCTACGGAACATACTTTGGAATGTGTTCAGTCATTCCTCACCAGAGGCAGTGCTTTGTGCGGTCAATGTATGTATAATCGCATCTGCAAGGGAACTAGTAGATTATACATAGGAAAATCAAATAGGCGGAGACGAGTTGGCATCGGTTGAAAACGGTCTTTGTTCAGCGTTTGAGTAGGATGCCCACTTGCGCCCAATATCATTGTTCAATAGGTCAACTGTGAAAGTCGATCGCAGGTAATGTACTTCCTCGCCCATTGCAGCGACTTATTTGCGATATCCCTCTGACATACTGTGCAATTCTATGACCTTCGTACAACCGTCTTCTAGTAGCTTTAATTTTAAGTCTTGTGTAGTTGGTCTAGCGTAGCACAATTGCAGATCGATGCTTATGTCCTAAAAAGTGCATATAGTCTTCTTAAAGGGGACTATTCATGAGGTTTCTGGAAACTCTTCGGTAGCCCTTATGAGCAGTTTCCTTCAATAGCACACCGCACACTCGAATATCGTACCAGTTGAAACTGGAGTTGGCCTTTGTGCAGTACATTCAGTTGGATCAGAACGTCATATAAAACCGTTCGTCTGTAATACTGTTATTGCCTAGCTGCCATGCCAGATAAGTTGAATTGTTTTACAGTGGTAAAAATCAAAATGTCATCAGTATAGCATTTTCAGTACTATCGTGTTACTGTCTCTCAATCCTGCCACTAAAGCTCGAGATAACTCAGTGGCTGAAGCGCGCGACCGGAAGGTTCGAACATAACCTTGACATATCCACTGCCCCTGTTTAGGCTTGAGAAACCTGGTAGTATCCCAGCCCTCGTGCGTCTTGCGGTTGTAAGCCGGTGACACGGCAGCTAGGCAGTGAAAGGACGTCGAAGCTAGTTTATTTGCGACTGATTTTAAAAGGTGATCTGTCGACATTAGACACAAGTTGACATCCCGAACCAACAGGATCCACCCTGACTAATGTCATCTGTGCCCGCTCAATGTCTACTCATCTCCGCACCCTGCACTTACCTGTTTTTCTGCGTCGCCGGTTCACTGGCGAATGCAGTGACTCCTACACTGGTACGATAAATCGTCACGTCTGACAAATAATGAGTGGGCCCATTCCAAGCTATCTTGTCATCATCATTGTCAGCTGTAAGAACCGCGTACTTGTCGTACAGTGGTTGTAGCTGCCGCATTTTCGTTCACTGAT